TGGTCAGGGTCTTCCTCTTCTTCCTGAGCCTTTGGGAAACTCAACCTCTGGAGAGTGCCTGCTACTAGAAGCTGAAGGGATGTCAAAATCGTATTGCAGTGGGACAGAACGGGTGAGCCTGATGGCTGATGGGAAGATCTTTGTGGGAAGCGGCAGCAGTGGGGGCACTGAAGGGCTGGTCATGAACTCGGATATACTCGGTGCTACCACAGAGGTTCTGATTGAAGATTCAGACTCTACTGGACCTTAGTGGGAAAGAAGACTTTGGGCACTGGAACAGCTCAGACTTTGTATTTAAAAGATAAAAAGGACAAAAAAATTTTAAAGCATTTAAAATCTAGTAAAATAACTGAAGGGCCTGCTTTTTCCATTGTGGATCACAGCACACATAGACCCCATCCCCTGTCCCTCCCTCTGTTGCCCCCTTACAAAAATTGATGTTGCCTTTACCAAGAAGGTAGACAAAAATGAAGCAGCAGCAACTCTTAAAGTGAGGGGTATCCTCATACTCAGTTCCGGCCAGTGGCAGACGTCCTGCTCATGGGCATATTCCCTTTTCCAACCTATAACTCTGATGTGCTCTGGATCAGCTTTTGACTCTTATTAGTGTATTACTATCTTCTAAATCCCTTCTCCTCTATTGCTGCCCTATGGTTCTGGCTTCTACCCACTGCAGCACACTTATCCTCAAATATTAATTCTAATCTCTGGAGGCTGGCAGCTTGACTTGGCACTTTAGGACCCCTTAGTAGGGTGAGCTGTTAAAACAGCACACATCTCACCCTTTCTTCCTCCATTCCCCACTGGGTTTTGGAAAGGAAGGATACATGGGGACCATCTCCCTTCTCTTTGATCCCAGCACCTCAGTCCCCCTCTCGAACCTCCATATAGCTCTTAATGGTGCTCACTTGCTTGGAAGCAGGCTCCCAAGAGGGAGGGGGCTGCCCTCTACACAGTCCCTTTGACTAAGACAGGGCTCTGTATCAGTGAGACAGTGAGAAAAGTCCCAGGCTAATGGCAGAAATTTGCACTTTGAACATGTGTGTTTTTGTGTTGTGGAACCTGAGATTCCTTATTTATTAACGGAAAGTCTGATTTTTTGGGGGTGGGGAGGGTCTTTGTTGCTATATTTTGTGGGGCTGGGAGAGATTAGATTATTTTGACATGGGATCCTTTCCACAGGAGGTACTCTGAAGGCAAGGCATAGGGTGGAAGAAGCACAGCCAGCCTCTAAAATCATAGCTCTCCAGTGGCCTTTAAAGAAAGCTGGTCCTCAGCACTAACAAAATCACTACAATAGCCTACTGTTTTTTTGTCAGCCTTCTTAGGGGAAGGATAATAGGTTTATGGTAACTAATGTGCTCTTTGACATTTGTAGAGCATTGAGATTTAGGAATTTTGAGGGGATGTCAGAGGGTTCAGGGTCTGAATTACAGATAAAAGATTTCTCTTATAAATTCTTTTTTTGTTCCCATTGTTTCTTTACATATACCTTCCTATTGGCTCAACTCTGGCCCCTTGGCTTCCTTTTTGTTTTTTGCTTTGCTTTATCATTGGTTCATTCCAGCTCTTTATTAGTTAAGAATACTGCCATTAGTGAAGGAACAAAGTCTATGAGTCCCTGAAGCTTTAAGTCAAAGAGAACGGCTGTTTCCCTTTTAGTAACGCTTCAGAAGAGGAGAAACTTCAATGGACAAGCTAATCTTTATAATAAAGGCTTTGACTTTCACTTGAAATTCTGGGAATTACCACTTCCCTTGATGTAGGAATTTTCATGGGGGTGTAGAAGTTCATAACTCCCGGAAGACTAGAAACCTATTTGGGCTCATTTTTCGAGAATGAGAGGATGATTCCTATCCTCCTATGTACCTCAGAAGTTGGAATTGAAGACTTGCCCTATTCATTGTTTATTGTCACAAGTGTATGATGGCTGTTGGAAAGAATGAAGGTTTGCTGAGAACAAAATAAGGAACATCTTGTTTTTCACAAACACTAAAAATACAAAATTTATCAGTTTTCTCTTTGATTTATTTTTTCCCGGAAAGAAGGATAATAAAATGTCATCTCTGAAAGAGACTTACTGTACAACCCACTGTGTCAGTGGTTGGGATGCCAGGGAACAGGGAGTGAGACACCTACAGTGAACAGTCTTAAATGCACTATTGTTTCTTAGAACGACCCTTCAATGTGGGGGTAGAAAATGAAATAAGGGTAGAAGGGATGTAGAATATGCTCTCCTGCCCACAGTAAGAATTCAGAGTTGACTTTGATTTAAAAATATTTTAAGATTGGATGGATCTATAGCAAAGTTGTTCCACTTGCAAATAAGTTCATTTTGTACTAGCTAGCATCTATGTTCCACACTTGGCGTTGTCTTTGTTACATGTAAACTTTGTCTCCATAAGTTTTCATTTGCAGTGGTTAGTCATCAGATAGCCACCTACACAAAAGCAAACTACAGTTTTTTTAGGGATGGGGGAAAATACATTGTTCTCCTTTCCTATACTACAAAAAGCAACTAAATAGTCCTAATAATTAGGAGTTTCCTATTCTCTGCTCTTTTTTCTTCTTCTTCAGAACTATCATTGCCTACAGTAAATTATTGTAGCATTTTGCAGTAGATTTTAAAATGTTTCTCATGAACTTTTTATTTTCCTTTTGAGAAAGGGGTGCTAGCGTAGGTAAAGAGTTTGTGTAAGTAAACTAAGCCTTTTTCCCATTTCCCTTCTGTTCTCCATGGTGTTTCATTGTCCTTCCAGAAACATCTACTCTTAAAATTTACATTTCATACTCTTTTATTAGTCAAATTCTGTTACCTTTTAAGTAACTCTTAACCGCTGCATATTATCCATCTTGAATTGGCAATTCTAAAGTCTGATAATTGAGTTTAGGTACAGCTAGAGCCATGGTTCCCTTTAGTGATTGCCCAGGGTTATTTTGCATAATTAGACTCCTTAATGTGATTCGGAGAGTTAAGACAAACATTGGTTGGGAGTACTGGGAATGAAAAAAATTACTAAAGTATAGAAAAGCATCCACATAGAGCACTTGAACCTCCTTGTTGTCTGGAGGAAAAAATAGATAGACTACCAGCCTAACTAAGGTGATTACAGGCTCCTTGTTTGAAGTCCCGTATTTTCCTCTTTCTGTCTTTTCCCACTTTCCAATGTACTCAAGAAAATTTAGAAAATTGTAATGGATCAACTTAAAGTTTTATTTCCGAAAAGCCTTTTTTGCCTGTTGTAATGTGCAGGACCCTTCTCCTTTGATGGGAGAGACAGGTAGTTACCTGAATCTAGGTTGAAAAGGTTATGTAAAAAGAAATTATAATAAAAGGGATACTTTGCTTTTCAAATCCTTGTTTTTCTCTTAATCTAGTTAAGGCATATTCAAAATAAGTATGTAAAGTAGAAAAATAAAAGTCTTCATGGAAGCAACTTGTCTTCCCTGGTTGTACTGAGTTACAGTTATCCAAGGGGTGAAACTATGGATACTGCTAAGTGAAGAAACCAAATGCCATTAGAGCAGGTTTTATGTGGGGTATTCTGTTTTTCACTCTTGTTGAGAATCATATGGATTAATTCTTGATTTGTAAGGCTAAAATGCCATGATTCTGTGATTGTTTAGCAAACTGGGAAACTGATGATTCAGTTGTGTTCTAGAAAGCAGCCATCATATTGATCTAGTGGAGTGAAGATTAAAGATGCTTTAATATTAGTTTCACTCTGATAATAAGAGAACCTTGATAGTGTATAGTATCAGTGCTTCTTCACAAAACCCAGTGCTCATAATCAAATAACTATCTTTAAGAAAAAGAAAAAACTAATCCCTATACCATATTCCCAGGCCTCATTTCTTTCCTTGTTATATACCTCGTCTTTAATTTACTTATGTAAATTTGCTCCTGAGGTGGCATGTGTTTCAAAGCTGATTGATTAATTTGAGGATGAAACGTGCAGCTCTTACCCAGTTAGCATCATGCTCTGAGGTATAATACAATAGAATGATTTCACTCCTTTTCTCTGGTTTTCTTAAGAAGCATGAATTGGGTAGGGAGGAAAAAGAAAAGCATGTTGTCACTTGAGCGAGAATACCTTAGAAATGTTACCACGTTCAGGTTGGGTGTTTCCTGTCCTTTGGGGAACAGGCCTAAACAGTGCTTTTCTCATCCTGTAGCTACCAGGAAAGCACCACGATTGAGATCAGAGATGCTGCCTTGGTTGATTTTTAATCAAGTATAAAAAAAATTTACAAAAGATGGGGGTTTTAAAATGCTGTGTCATATAACCTTCGTTTCTTCAACAAGACGTGAATTCCCAAAAGAAATGAGAAGCATGGGAAAAACAACTGTGGAGTCAAAGACCTCTATTTAAATATGAGCTAAGTTACTGTTTTTTGTGCACATTAATTAACTTCTTTAAGCTTCAGTTTTGTATATAAAGTGAGAAAAGTAGTATTTACCCTAGAATTATTTTAAGAATCAGATAGAAATGCTTCTGACCCAGGATGCTATTATTAGTAACTTAGTATTATTGACCACTTGTCAGGCCGAAAAAAAAAAAAAGAAACCAATAAACAAGAAGTACATGAAAATGCAAAAGGGGGATAATAAAGTAAACTGATCATGTGTGTATATAAAATAGATTAGGCAGGGGTGTCATGAGGATTAGTGTGATAGTGACCTTGTTGCTAAGTGCAAAAGCAAAACAATGACATAGAAACAAGTGTGCCAAGAACTGAGTGGAGGAGAGGGATGGAGGCAGACGCTGCAGGAAAAAAGCTGATTAAAAAGGGCTCTTTGATTCCACAGGCACAAAAATCCACAGCCAGGAATTTGCTGCCACCTCTGAGTCAGGCAGGGGGTGGGGGTGGGGGTGCAGGATCCCATTAGAAGAGAATGCCCAGTGGATTTAGTCTGTGAGAGTCACATTTCTTATCTGGACCAGTGTAGACATAAGCAAACTCAGCTGACTTGTTTCCTGGGACAGTTGAGTTAGGGGATGGCTTTCATGGAGCATTCAGCACTGACCCCTCACCGCCGGGAGCTCTGTAGCCGTACCATCTGGCTAGCGAGGAAGATTCGTTCAGACCTGACCGCTCTTACGGAATCTTACGTAAGTTATCCATTTTGCAATTGTCTGTTTTCCCTGCATCTCTTTTGATCCAGCTGTTACCATCATGTTCTAGTCACAGTACCAATTACAGAAGCCCTGAACACATAGTCACTCATATATCAAGAATGTATTATTTGGCATCCCCTTTCCCCTGAGAAAACTCATGTGACATAATTTTCCTCCTCTAGGATGTGTAGGACATGTTCCTTGAGTGAGAAATTACATACATAGAGTTTTGCTAAGTTTGGCTGTATACCTTAGAGACCGTTCTTAATTTGATTGCCTATTTTCTGAATTCTACCAGAATAGTCATAGGCCCTCTAAGTTTGGGTTTTTCATGCATATTGTTCTGAACTTTTGACCTGTGTACATGGAAGAGGTTTATAGCATTGGGAGGAAGAGCAGTGTAAACTTGAGAAATTTGTAAATCTAACCGATTTCTCTTTTGATGTATTAGCTCCTGCAGATTTTAATATTGGGCATCAGAAATGTCCTGGTGTCTAAAATGGTCAACTTAAGCTATGAAGAGGATCCCCTAGAAGAATCATTAGGGACTTTTTAAGTAAGGAATTACTAACTGTAGAGGTTTTTAACACCAATTGCTATTGAATTTTCTAAAGGATTGAACTCACCCTGGAGAGTAGGCAGTGAGGAGGGGAGGTTAGAGAAACTGTGATAGCTACTGTAGAAATTCTGGGAATGATCAGTGTCTTCAAACTGAGACCAGTATATTAAAATCCAGTTTCAAGAGAGTTTGAAGTGGGGAGGAAAAATTCTATGTCAGTGGTTTCAACTTTTAAAAGTTGAACATTCTCCCAAGAAAAATGCCCAGATACTTCATTTCAGGTAATGTAGAATCTTCCTAAAATCCAATCATGAATCCCAAAAGAAGAGTTTCTGTTCCAGATATTTTTGGTTTTTTCTTTTCTTTTGCAACTTGCATGCTTCGTGAAGGAGGTTTATAAGATTTTAGGATCGTTTTAAGTCAGGACATTGGGGTGATGTACAGATGTGAAGTTTTCCTATATGTCATCCAGGTGAAGCATCAGGGCCTGAACAAGAACATCAACCTGGACTCTGTGGATGGAGTACCAATGGCAAGCACTGATCAGTGGAGTGAGCTGACTGAGGCAGAGCGACTCCAAGAGAACCTCCAAGCTTATCGGACCTTCCATATTATGTTGGCCAGGCTTTTAGAAGACCAGCAGGTGCATTTTACCCCAGCTGAAGGTGACTTCCATCAAGCTATACATACCCTTTTACTCCAAGTTGCTGCCTTCGCTTACCAGATAGAGGAGTTAATGGTGCTGTTGGAATGTAATATCCCTCCCAAAGATGCTGATGGGACACCTGTCATTGGAGGTGATGGTCTCTTTGAGAAGAAGCTGTGGGGCCTGAAGGTGCTACAAGAGCTTTCACACTGGACAGTGAGATCCATTCATGACCTTCGTGTCATTTCTTGTCATCAAACTGGAATCCCAGCACATGGGAGCCATTATATTGCTAACGACAAGGAAATGTAGCAGTTAGCCCTCTCTATTCCTGGTTTTCATTTCTAATGGAATATACATAGTTCTTTGGGGCTTCACTTTCCCACCTTAAGGTTTTTGAAAACTTTGAAAGCCATAGACATTTCCATCAAGTAGAATTAGAGATACAGACAAATGGGCAGACAAGTCTGGGATGGTGGGTACTTGTGGAATGAGGGGGTGTAAGAGTGGGAGCGGGGACAACATCCTTTGTGCTCTAATGTTTCCACCTACTAAGTAACCTTTTAAGAATTTAACAGCCTTATCAACAGAAGAGAGATTTTAACTCTAGGTCTGGGTGACTCTTCTGAAAGGACTAAGCCAGTGATTGAGAAATCATAGACTCTAGTTAATTCAGACTCTTAGATAATCAAAGTAACAATAACTAACATTTACTGAGTATCCACTAAATTGAAACAGTATGCCAGCAGCTTTATGTATATTATGTATAACAAGACAACCTTGTGAGGAAGGTGGTGATGTTCGTATTTATTTGACAGATGAGAAAAAGTTGGAACAGTTATAAATCCGAAGATTCCCATGGGGGAAATATTAGGCCCAGTAAACTTAGGGACCTTCGAAGCTGGGGATGTATGGTATTATGGCCTGTTTTAGAGTCCACTAATAATCTTGAATATTGAAATAGGCACAACTTACACTAGTTTGCCTTATGTGGTACAGGGATACAGGCACTGTGACCCAAGTGTTCATGCAAGATGAGTGAAATACTACTCAGGTTAAAAAGTCACAGAACTCTGTCACTACAGGTTTTCTGGACTCAGTCATAAGAGGGTGATGTGATAGGGTCCACTCTGTTCCCACTGAGAATTCCAGAGTGAAACATAATGGTAAAACCTCTGTCTTGTGCAAGAAAAGGACAGTGCTGTGTGTGAAATGTTGGCATCAGTGGAAATGGTCATTTGCAGCAAAGTGTGTTCCTAGTGTGGTAATGTACTCAAGTGTCGTTAATTTAGCACCAGTGAAGTAAAACTTAAAATACCAGATTGAGAGCCCAAGTCAGTTCTGTTTAATTAACCAAGAGGTCTGTATTAAATGAGCCTTGAGTCTGAAGACTAGCTCCCAAAGGATGCGTGAGTTGGGATTGAATGACTTTGGGCTTATGTTCCCATATGTTCAAAACTACATGAAGCCAATGTTACAGGAGGACTCAGGGGTCAGCTTTGTGACAGGTCAAAGGAAAGAAAGCCCTACATTTCTAGTATGTATTTGTGGCAATACAGTTGTATATAAATAAACTACCGATCAATACTTGCTTGTAATTACATTGCCCAGATTCACCTCAAAGGAAAGAGATCAGGAAGTGTCAGAAATAATTTCCTAGAGGAGGTAGGAGCTGAGTATTAAGAGTTAGCTGCATGCAAAATAGAATTCACAAGGAGAGAAACAGAGAAAAGTAGTCTGCTCAGAACAAAGGCTGTAGGAACTATCTGTGCCCTGCTGCCACCATGGTCGTGTTGAACTTGGCATTTGTGAATTTTTCACAAAGTATAGTTCCCACTGAATGCGTAGAAGCTTATTCTCCATTCAAGCTTTTCCTTATTCAGATAGTTTCTTCTGCTCAAGAGCAGCATTTTCAATTAATAAAGTATTATTATTATGAAGCTCTTGGATTTATCTGAATAATGCCTTTGCTTAATTGAGAAAGATTGTGGCTAAAATTTTTTGATGAAAAATAACTGATTATGAACTTGTTGGGTCTGAAATGAGTGACCCCTCTCAAGGCTTTTGTGTCCAGCAGATATGGCAGGACAGACATCTACAGAAATTTAAAGCATCAGCAGAGCCTGGTTTAAGCTCTGCTGCACTGAAGAGAAGGAATATTTTTGTATGAGAAGCAGACTTGAGGTAGCAGAGGTACAGAAAAGGCACCAGTACTAACTGTTGAGTGGGAGGAGAGAGGATGTGTCAGTCTTGGTTAGATTGCAGAAAAACAAGTCTAGTGCATACACCACTGTGCTGTATCAGCTTCTCCTTCAAGAAACTTGACATAAACCCCAGAAGAAATGTGGGGAGACTGCTTAGGAAAAGATGATGTAAGGAGAAAATGAACATTTAGCCATATAACAAAAACATAAATAGATATGAGATGTAAGTGTGCAGACATTGAAACATACTTACCTGAAAGGAGAAATCAGATTGAAAGAGAGACTGACAATGGGCCAGTGTTCTAGAAGTGTGTCCTGTAGTAGAGGACATGATGACAACACAGTGGAAGTGCATATTTTTTAAGGAGCCACAACTAAAAAGAGATGTTCTTTAGATTTTATTCCCTTGGCTCTTAGATCCGTATATAGTTAGGATCCCTGAGAAGTCATAGCTCTGTTGTGTTGTAGTTATATTAATAAGGTGCTTACATTTAGTTCCTAGCCCCTGACTCTAAAAAGGAACCCTTCTATCTCATTTACTCCAGTAAAGATTTATTTTTCTTGAGTTGGTGAATTGTATAGATGAGATTTGATAAATTTGTTTCACATTAGCTTGAAAATTAAGCACAAATTTGAAGGCCAAGCATGGAATAAAATTAGTTTTCAGATACTCAGGTTCAAGGGAAGTGGGAGTTTTTATAAAAATGGAAAGTGTAAAGTCATAGCTCTGGCATTGCTGTTATTTCAAGCTGCTGTGGATTAAAGCCCAAGGGATGACTCATTGTTGTGACCACTGGTCAAGTAGAGAGACAGCATGAGTGAATATTTCAGAGTGACATCTGAAAAGTTGTTTGAAATGATTTTTGTTTGTGTATCTTCAACTCCTCATGAAGTACCTGAGCATCATCTTCGTTTAGTAAGGGGTCAGATAGAGATGCAGTAAGCAGAGAGATCTCCACCATGATGAGAAAAGGTTCTTTGGGTGAAGAGGAATGCAGGGTGGAGAGTAGAATTTGAATTTCACTGTAGTTGATTGCCCTCCGGTGTGTAGGGGTGTGTGTGTGTGTGTGTGTGAGAGAGAGAGAGAGAGAGAGAGATGCTAATGCAGTGTTTAGGCCAGGGCATTCTTTGAAAAGAATCTTGCTGGCCTCCTGCCTCATTCTTCCCTGCACTTTAGGCATCAGCTTTAAGATTGAGCCCTGCAGATGTTGGTGCATTCAAAAAGTGAAAGATGATAAAAGCTTCATCATCATGCAGCACAAAAGCCTCTGTGGAGATCTGAGGACTACAGACAAAGACAAAGTAAAAAGATAATTCAAATGTGTACAGGGTGTAAAAAATCCATGTGCCTGTGATTTTTAACATAAAATGTTGTTACTTTGATCTAGTTTTGGCACATAGCAAATAAAAGATGTACGAATAGCTAACAATAAAGTTCTTTTCTCAGCAAGACCATTGAGTTGGTTCTTTTATTTCTGTATCTTTGGATGAACAAGAGGAATTTCAAGTGATTTCAACATTGGAGGAAATGTAATCCTCCCAGCCAGGGCCAGGCTTCATCAAACATGCTGGCTAAATCTCCATGATGCCAGGCTGCTGGGCAAAACTCCCAAAGCCAGGCAGCCTTGAAAAGGTAGAATGACCTTACACCACTAGGCCAGTGCTGCTTTGCCCTCGGAATATGTAGCCCTGTCAGGTTGCCTGAAAATGAAGATTTCCTTTTACACGGTTTGATTTTAAGTACTTGACCCCACAGTGACCCTTCTGACTGAAAGAGAAGAACCCTGCCTAGCCCATCCATTTCTAGTGAGTTTGGAGGAAGAAACCGAGCTCTGGAAAGTGATAGGAAAATATAAGGAGGAGGGGGGGATTGTGTGCTTCTATTTACATGTTCAAAGTAGTATGAAAGGGAATACAATATTTACTTATTCACCATGTCTGGCAACTCTACACTATGTGACTAACCCTATGAATGTCTTTTTCACAAATAAAGGAAATAAGAATGAGCATTAACATTAATTTGCCCAAGTTCCCTCCTGTAGCATAGGATAGAGCTAGAGGAATCATCTGTTCCGCGGGTTGAAATGCAGGCTGTTCACTGCACCCAAAAGATGGCTTTTATAGTAGGTGGGGCTAGTTAGGTCCTAAAGAAACCTCACAAGCTCTAGAGGAAACCGAGGAATCCTGCAAACCAGAACACCCAGGATGTGTTAAAGCCTGCATTTAGATACGGAATCATCCAACCATATACATGCACTCTCCATCCAGGAACGAATGCAAGCTTCCTTTAGTCAATCTCCATTAAACACATAGCATGCGGCAGCCAAAGAGGCTCAGCCTTCTGCATCAGTGTCCCAACTAAAATGCAAGAAAGAACTACAGCTTAAGTCCATGGGTTCCCCCACTGCACCTCCCTGCTCTGAAAGACCAACCTAATTGGAAAAAATACCTGGTGTCTGTTTTTGCTCTTCCTTCTAGTAATCCTCCGGAAGATCTAGGGACAGCTTCATGACAGACCTCCCTGTCTCCCACTTCTATAATTGGATGAATGGTCCTCCTCTCCTGAAATAATGGGAAAAGTTGGACACTGACAGTGGCTCGCTCAACTGTTACTCCACCTAGGATAAGTATCATGTAAACAATGCACTGAACTGGGAGAAAGTTTCTTAAAATACATATTTTTGTTGACTTTAATTTTATTTGAAAGGGAGTAAAGAAGTATTTCATCTGCTGATTCACTCCCTAAACGCTTGCAATAGCTGGGACTGGGCCAGGCTACAGCCAGGAACCCAGAACTCCATTGAGGTCTCCCATGTGGGTAGCAGGGACTACTTGAGCCCTCACCTTCTGCCTCCCAGTGTGTACATTAGCAAGTAGATATATCAGAAGTAGAATAGCTGAGATGTGAATCAGGCACCCTGATAAGGAATGCAGGTGTCCTAAGCAGCAACGTAACTGCTGTAACAAATGCCTGCCCCAGAGAAGCTTTTTAAAATACCATTCCAAGATAGTTGTCTTCAGATGGAATCAACATTTAAGCCATACCACTAGGTAAAGGGTTTAGACTGGTTTCTCTTACTTAACAATCCTTGGCTCCTATCCCCAGAG